TTGGCCTGCTGTGTTCATCCAGCTCTACACCTTGTTATCTCAGATTCTCCAGCATCAGCAGTTCCCACTATCTCCCACAAGATCCTCTGACTTGTTCATCCTGCTTCCCCACCAAACAGCCAAAGACTAAGAGGATGGGCAATGTATGCACCAGCTATGCAGAGTGTTTTCAGCACTTTGTTTTTAGTTCGTTTATCCAATATCAAGAATATTTTGCTTTAGCATTAAGTTTAAAGTAATAGCTAGAATACAATAAAATAATTTATAATGCATTATGTTGTAAAATTTGTCACAAAGAATTGTGAGCACAGCCCAATCCATCACGAAAACCAATCTTTCCACTGAATCCGTCTATACTTCCTGTTGCCTCAGGAAAGCAAACAACATAATCAAAAAGGAGATAACAAGGTGTAAAGCTGGATGAACACAGCAGGCCAAGCAGCATCAGAGAAGCAGGAAAGCTGACATTTCGGGTCTGGACCCTTCTAATCAAAGACTCTTCCTATCCCCGTTATACTCTCATCCACCCTCTTTCGTCGGGCAGAGGGTACAAAAGTTTGAAAACATGTATCTAAGCTATTTTCAGATTTATGAATAGACCTCTCACAAATATTCTCTGCACCTATGTAGGTGTAACACTAACTCCCTGTTTCCTAACAGCTCTGCATCAACTTAGGCCTCTCTCTCAATGTATAACCACAAGTCTGATTTCAGGACCCACTGATATAGGACGCCTATGGTTCAAAAATACATCTACTACAGGGCTGCTGAACGGACCAGCTGGCTGTTCAAATTTAAGGTATGGAAAGTAACAAAAGCCGATTTGTGATTTTTGTTTTGAAGTACTACCACTTACCTTTGAGGAGCGACCCAACCTAGGGGTCCACTGTTTAAATGGCATCACCAGTCTCAGATTCCTCTCCCCTATCCCATGAAGCCTGGCAGTGACCGATATAAGTGTCGATAAAGTTTGTTCAAAATTTACACCCGTCACTTCTGACAGAGAAAGGCCAAGTTTTTTTTAGATAAAAGAACAGCGACGAAAGCTCATTGCCTGAAGCATTAAGTCTCTTTCTGGCTCTGCAAACGGATGTTTTGTTGAAAATATCCAGCTCTTTTTATCAAATAACACATAGTTTCTGAGCGCCATCTTTGTGCGGGGCACCATTTCCCCCTCAAGTTGAAAACGCTGGCTCAGCTAAGCCAGAAGTCTCATCTTATACTTCCAACGGCTTGAATGTGAAAACTGGTGGGGTTTTAACAAGAAGAATCCATGTGATTCTTTCAGACAGAAACAGGCATCAAACACTGACGTCTGTCCGTTAGTGCTGATAAAGTTGATTTGAGAGGGGCGGAAGTGACGTGCGGGTGGCATGGTGGCCGGTCGGCGGTGGTGAAGAGCAGTAAGAGAAGCCGCGTGAGTGGCGGCGCGAGCCGGGTGCTGCTGACGGTTAGTGTTTGAAAGAAGTTGGGCGTCGTTCGAATGGTCTTGCGTGCAGGGATTTCGCGAGCTCGGTCGCTGGCGCTGGAGTTGCCTTAAGATCGTGTCAAGCAGCGTGTGGGGTGGTGTGGCCCATTTCAAACCTTTTCCCCGTGGCTATGCAATAGGTTGAATCTGCCTGCACTCACTTCAGTGTGCATTACAGAATCTCGCTGCATTTTATTTTAAAAAGCTCATTTTTTGGGTTCTTTTCTCATTCTCCTTAAATCTTTTGATTCTCGGACGTCCTGCAGATGGGAACAGTTTCTGTCTGGCTAAATTTTGAGATCTCCTTTTTATAGATTCGTAGAGTTTTTGCAGAGCGAGAAGAGGCCCTTTGGCCCAACCTGTCTGTGCTAGGCATCAAACATGCTTCTTTTTAATCCCATTTTCCAGCAGTTAGCCTGGACCCCTGTATGCTATGATAGTTCAAGTTGTCATCTAGATACAACTTAAATGTGTTGAGAGTTCTTGTCTCTATCATCCTTTAGGCAATGAGTTCCAGACACCTCTAACCTTCTGGGTTCGAAAAAAGTCTTCAAATCCATGCTAAGCCTTCTGCTCCTTACTTTAAAATTCTGTCCCTGCTTATTGACCCCTATACCAAGGAGAAAAGTTTCTGCCAATCTGTCACATCTCTGCCAATTAGAACTTTGTACACCTCAATCAGACCGGGTGTGTGCACCCTACCCCAACACTATCCCAAGCCTTCTAACTAAGCAATCCCACCCATCTCGTCTCTCTTCATTGCTCCAGCCGAGGCAACATCCTGATGAACATTCTTGCAATAGAACTAGCCAAGCAGTTTCAGTACGCTACAACACTGGCATCTACCTGACAATGTGGAAAATTGTTCAGGTATGTTCTGTACATAAAAAGCAGGACAAATCCAACATGGCCAGTTACTACCCCATCAGTCTACTCTTGATCATCAGTAAAATGATAGAAGATGTCATCAATAGTGCTATCAAGCAGCACTTAGTCAGCAATAACCTGCCGAATGATGCCCAGTTTGAGTTCTGCCAGAGCTACTCAGCTCTGGATCTTATTACAGCCTTGGTTCAAACATGGAGAAAACAGCTGAATTCCAGAAGTGAGAGTGACTGTCCCTATCGTCAAGGCTACATTTGACCGAGCATTGCATTAATGAGCCTGAGCAAAACTGGAGTCAATGGAAATTGGTGTGGGGCAGAATCTGTCCACTGGTTGTAGTTGTACTTAGAACAAAGGAAGATAGTTTCACTTGTTGGAGGTCAGTCATCTTAGATCCAGGATATTCTGCAGCAGTTCATGATGCTAGTGTCTGAGTCCCAACCATCTTCAGCTGCTTCATCACTGACCACCTCTGCATCATAAGGTCAGAAGTAGTGATGTGCAATCATTAGCAAACAATGTTCAGCACTATTCCTGACTCCTTAGATACTGAAGCAGTCCATCTCCAAATTCAGCAAGACCTGGAGGATATTCAGCTTGGGCTGATATATGTTTAGTACAATTTGTGCCATTCAAATGACAGGCAATGACTACCTCCAATAAGAAACAGTGTAATCATCACCCCTTGATATTGAATAGTATTGTCGTTACTAAACGTCTCACTATCAACATCCTTGACACCATCTAGGACAAAGCAGGCCCATTTGATAGGAACTACATCCATAAATACCACTTCCTCCACCACACATGTTCAGTACAGCAGTGTATATTATCTACAAAAAACCAATGTCCTACAACAACACTTTCCAAACCAGCAATCTCTATCATCTAGAATGACAAAGGCAGCAAATACATGGTAACAGCATCATCACCCCAAGTTCCCCTCCAAGTAACACGCTATCCAGACTTGGAGATATATTGCTGTTCCTTCAGTTTCGTTGGGTCAAAATCCTGGAATTCCATCACTAGTGGCATTGTGGATGTATCCACAGCACATGGACTGCAGCAGTTCAAGAAAGCAGTTCATCACTACCTCTTAAGGACAACTAGGGTTGGACAATAAATGCTAGCTCAGCCAGTGATGTTCACATCCCACGAGCAAATTTTAAAAAGAAATCTCTTCTGCATCCTCTCGAGTGCAATCATCCTTCCTACACCGTGGCAACCATAATTGTATACGATACTCCAGCTGTAGCCCGGGAGGCAATGGCCTAGTGGTATTATTGCTGGACTGTTAATCCAGAGACCCAGATAACGTTCTGGTGACCCAGGTTCAAATCCTGCCATGGCAGATGGTAGAATTTGAATTCAAAAAATATCTGGAATTAAGAGTCTAATGATGACCATGAATCCATTGTCAATTGTTGGAAAAACCCATCTGGTTCACTAATGTCCTTTAGGGAAGAACCTTACCGGATCTGGCCTACACATGACTCCAGACCCACAGCAATGTGGTTGACTCTCAACTGTTCTCTGTACAATTGGGGATGGACAATAAATGCTGCTTAGTACATGATGCTCTCATCCTGTGAAGGAATTAGGAAAGCTATCATGTAATGCTATCATTAACTCCTTGCCCTGTTTTTTTTATTTTCTCATGGGATGTAGGCATTGCTAGCTGACCAGTATTTATTGCCTGTCCCTATTTGTCCTCATGAAGGTGGCGAACTGCCTCCTTGAACTACTGCAGTTCATGTGCTGTAGGCAGACCCACAATGGAATTGGTCGGGGGGTGGGTGTTGAAATTCCAGGATTTAGACCCAGCGACAGCAAAGGAACAGCAATATATTGCAAGTTAGTATGGTGAATGGCTTGAGGGGAACTTGCAGGTGTTTGTGTTCTCATATATCTGCTGTGTGTATCTTGCATTCATTGTTTTGACTATAAAGGCAAGTATCCTACATGCCTTTTGTAACCATTTCCTCTACCTGTGCTGCTGCCTTCAAGGATCTATGGACATGTGCATCAACAAGCTTCTGATCCTCTACTTCCTAGGGTCTTACCATTCATCATGTACTTCCTTGCCTTGTTAGTCCTCCCAAAATGCATCACCTCTCGCATTTCAGGATTAAGCTCCATTCACCACTTTTCAGCCTATCTGACCCATTAATCTCTAAGGAAAATAATTCGAGCTTCTTCAATCTACATATAAAAGCAAAGCACTTCATCACCAGAACCATTCTTGCCAATATTTCCGTGTTGCTACCTTAATGCACTGTTTTATTCTTCATAATAACAACATAAAGGTAATCTTGGAGCAGATACTCTATTTATTTGGGATGGACAACTGCACTGGTAACATTAGCAGGCTATTGATGAATTCACTCATGAAAATGCCATCTTGGGCTCAGTGGCCATCACTCTTACCGTAGAGACAGGGAGCTATGGATTCACTGTGGATGTTTGAACACATGATCTATGGTGATACTTTGGTACATGACTGTTGGAGGTGCCATCTTTTGGATGTGACAATTAACATGAGACCCACGTGTCCTCATGTGGATGTAAAGATCTTATTACACTATTTCCAGTAAAGGACGGAAGGTTTTTTCCCCCAGTGCCTTGACCAATATTTAGCTTTCATTCATTATAAATAGTAATTTATTTGCAGTGGATAGAGGATTGGTTAACTTATAGAGCGGGGATAATCGGCGCACTTCCAAGTTTACAAGCTGTGACTAATAGAGTGCTGCAAGGATTAGTGCGATCAACTATATTAATGACTGATGAATAGACTGAAAGTGATGTGTCTTGGTTTGCTAATGATACTGAACTGTGGGGAGGATAGCAAGAAGCTGCAAAGAGACATTCTAGTCACATCAGTGTGCAACAGCCTGACAGGTGATGTATAACATTGATAAATCGTGATTCGTAACACCTCCGACTGGCAATCAAATGTCATCTTTGATACCAAAAGTTTGAAGAGGTATTTTATATATCGGGGGAAATAGATAAAAAGATAAGCGGAGCACAGGTCCTGGTGGGAAAGGCTTAAGAAATGGTATCCTAAAAGGTGGTCTGTATGATGAGTTTTCAGAACACTTTTGAAGGGGAATGTAAAAAAGTGGAATTGGTAGTTTGAGTAGACAATCTGAATAATGGGTCATTAAGACTACTTAGCAGAAACAGGTAGTATCAGAACAATAGAATCGGAATCATACAGTACAGAAGAGGCCCTCTTGTGGAACAGTGGTAGTGTCCTTACTCCTGAACTGGGAAGCCTGGGTTCAAGTCCCACTTGCTCCAGAGCTGTGTAATAACATCTCTGAACAAGTTAATTAGAAACAAGATAAGTACGGAAGACGGCCTTGTTCCTATTTAGTCTGTCCTGCCTACACTAGTCCCACTTTCCTGCACTATAGCCATTTTAAAAAAATTATTAACTAATTTGACCAAACTAGTCTAATGATTGTACTGTTATCAGTCTGTTCCCATTCCATCTACATCATCTGAACCTTTCAGCATCTCTTTCAATTGCTTTATCTTTCATATGCTTAACATATTTTCCTTTGAAAACATTGAAACTGCTGGCCTCAACCACTACTCACGATAAGAAATTTCTCCGTATTTCCCTATTGGAATTATCAGTAAGTCTTGTATTTATGTCTGAGACCACTGAAGGTAGATGCAGGGTCTCAAGTCCTATCAACAGTGAAACTTTGAAACTGAAAGAGAGTTACTGTTTTATGAAGAAATTTATGTTAACAGGAATGGAATGCATCTTATATTTTCAGCTGTCTAAAATCCCTGGAATACCTTCACTTTTTTTCATTTTTTTTCATTTTTTTTATAGCCTCAAAAGCAATTTTTTGAACTTTCCTTTGATTCTGCTGCTCCATCATGACTTTGTTTTACTATGACATGTTTAAGTATAGAGTTGTTTATAATGTCAGTGTGTATGGTGGAAGATGTACAGAAATTAATTAGATCAAGAGTAAAAATTCAGGAATCAAAATGGTTGCTAAATACAATTGAAGAGCAAAATGTAGCCAAGTATGGACATTGGAAACAAAGACCTGAAGACCTTATCCCCGCAATAATTGAAAGGGAAATTTAAATGAAGAAACAAAAATAGATTAACAAATAACATTGAGGGGTACACAGAAGTAGGTTTTAAGGAAACCAAAGAAATAAGTAGATGTTGACCGCACAACTAATACTAGTGTGAAAATGACCAAATGAATAAGAGGCTCACCCTTTTCAAAGTTGTCTCCTTTTCTCTGATCATTTTTAAAAAGTTATTTCTTCTCTTCCCTAATGAACTGTTTGCTGTAGGTACTTGAACTTTTGTAAAAATTCCAGTTGTAGACCAAATTCTTATTGAATTAAAGGAGAGGCTGAAACTGACATTAAACATTGCTTAAAAGTACACCAAACAATTAATATTTATGACAGTACTGTAGACCTCAAAACTATGTCCAGAAACTCTGAAGATGACAGAAGTCAGATAGTTGGTCAGCATATCAGCTTTATTGTAAATGTTTAGTTTTGTATGGTAGTACTTGAAAGAAACTTACCAAAAGACAATTTAAGTCACCTGGTAAGACAGCAATACTGGCCACTATCTAACTTGTATTAAGAATGTTTTGTTTTTCCCAGTGCCCGAGAGAAGACTGTAATTTCTGCTAGATTGAAAATTGAAAGACAATGTCATCTTACAAACCAACTGTAATTCAGAACTACCCAAAACTTGGGAACAAGGTCACACGGGACACATTATACTGGAAAAATTACAAGGTAAGATGAGAAAGGATGATCTTTGTTGTTCGAAAAGCAGAACCAATATATGATCATATTATAGTCTTTATTTGCTGGTGCAAATAGAAAAAGGAGATAGAGAAGGCCATTTTATCCATTGAGCCTGATGCACCATTCAACAAGATCATGGCTGATCCGCTATTGCAATGACATACTCATGTGTTGTCCTTGATACCTTCAGTCTCTAGAAATTTATCTATTTCTTTACTAAATATGTTCAGTGACTTGGCTTCCATAGCCTTCAGTAGTAGAGGTTGACAGGTTCACCATTCTCTCCAAGTGGAGAAATTTCTCCTCCTGTCAGTCTGAAATGACCTACTGTTTATTCGGAGAGTCTGCAGACAACGAAATGCTGTCTTGTTCTTCTAATCTCCAGTAAATACAGGCCTAGTTGGCCCAAGTTCTCCTCGTACAACAAATCTGCCATTTTAGGAAACAATCTGGTGAGCCTTCTCCACACTCCCTCTACGGAAAATGTATCTCCTTAAGTAAGAAGGCCAAAAGTGCAAACATCACTTCAGGTACGGTCTCGACAAGGACTTATACAGCTGCCGTGAGACTTCCTTGCATCTGTACTCAAAACCTCTTGCCTTGAAGACCAATATGCCTGCCTTGTAGCCTGCATAACTGCTTGCTGCACCCACATGCATGTTTTAGAAGATTGGCACAAGAGTAAGAAGTTCCCTTTGTACATCCACGTTTTCCAATCTATCACAATTTAACTCCTACTGTTCGATTCTGTATCACCTACTGGAATGGACAACTTCACCCTTATCTACATCATATTGCAGCTGCAACAAAAACAGAAATTGCTGGAGAAACTCTGCAGCTTTGGCAGCATTTGTGGGAAGAAAGCAGAATTAACATTTTGAGTCTGATGATTCTTCAGAACATTAACTGTGTTTTCTTCACACCAATGTTGTAAGACCTGCTGAGTTTATCTAGCAATTTCTGTTTTTGTTTCTGGTCTCCACCATCTGCAGTTTTTTTTTATTATCATATTGCACCTGCCATCCGTCCACTCATTCAACTTTTCTAGATCACCTTGAAGCTTTCTTGCATCCCCTTCACCACTCTCAACCCTACCCTGCCTATTGCAAATCACCTCCTATACCTTCTTGGTTGCCTTTGTTTAGATATGGGATCTTAGTTTCACATTGGACTAATTCACTTTCTATCCAATGAAGATTCTAATCATGTTATGGTCACTTTTTTCTAAATGGACCTCTAAACAAGATTATTAATTAAACCCTTGTCATCGCACAAAACCAAATCTAGGATAGCCTGAATAATTTGTTACTCAATATACTGGTCTAAAACAAGTCTTTTACTTGCCCCAGGAATTCATCCACCATAATATTTTTGCTAATGTGGTTTGCCCTGTCGATATGTAGATTAAAGTTACCGATGATTACCATGGCACCATTGTTGCACGCAGCTCTTTCTGTTTAATACCATTCCCTACCTTACCACTACTGTTTGAAAACCTACAGATAACATTCACCAATGTTTTTTAAACTTCTTGTATCTAAGATCTACCCAGACTGATTCCACATCTAGATTTTCTGCATCAATCTTTCTCTTTCTCACTCTTGTATTAATCTTTCACTAACCATGCCATCCCATCTCCTTTTCCTTTTTGACTGTCCTTCCTAAAAATTAAATGCTCTTGGATGTTCAGTTCCCATCCTTGGTCATCCTGCAGCCATGTCTCTAACAGTAAGCCTATTGTACCCATTTACAATTATCTGCACTGGTGAATCCATTTACTTCAGTGCAAATGCTCCACGCATTCAAATTTGATTACTTTAGACATGTCTTTTTGACATTTTTACAGAGTTTTGTTGGTACCTCAACCCAATTTGCAATTAGCCCTTCTTCCCTCACCTTCCACTTTTGCTTTCTACTTTCGTATTATTAATTTCCATCCTTGTGTCCCTTACTCATCTTCCCATTCAGGTTCCGGTCTCCAGACATTCCAATGTAAACTCTAGTTTAATTGTTAACATTCATAGATTTTGTAAAACTTGACTCTGCATTTAAGCCAATTATCTGATTTCCCACAATACCACTATTATACATACAATGATGACAGTGCTTTCAGATACAACTGAATGTTTTGCTGTGACGCTCATAAATTTCACCAGAATCACCCGTTCCAGTTATTTCAGAACTTTGGGCTCTAATGTAAAATGCTGGTTGAGTTCTGGTGAAATCACATATTTCATTGAGAGATTTTTTTCATGTTCATTTAGTATACTAACTGCGAGTTATGTCAGTCTTGATATTTAAAAGCCACTGTTCATGACACTGAATATTGAGATTCTGTACATTTTTATGCAGGGGAATCCATCAAGACTCCAAATTCACTAATGCTTGAAACTGTACATCTGATGGAAATAGCAATAACAGCTTAATCTTATCTTTGTTTCAGAGTCCTGTTCAAATAAAAGAGTTTGGTGCCGTGACAAACATAAATTTTTCTCCAATTGCTCCCTACAATTATGCAGTAACTGCTTCCACAAGGGTGAGTCCAGAAGAGCACGTTTGTGTAAAAACAATTAAATGAAATTTGATTTGACTGACTACTCTTAAATAGTAATTTTTCACTGACATATGATGGTGATGATCTATCTCTGTGTGATTTTCCAGAGGTATTCAAATTTGAAGCAATATTTGCTTGTTAACCATTCTACTCAAGTGTTCTATTATGAAAGGTATAGTTTCTCTTGCTAATATTTCATTTTAGAAATTCTTGTCCTTCAGTTTCTGTGTTTGAAGTGTCAAAAATAGTTTCTATTAAAAAACAGTCAATGTGGATGTATAAATATGTTCACTTAAATTGAAAGTTATAACAGCAGCAAGTAGGAAGTGCAATGGTGGAATCTTTGTGGAATATAATTGATCAGATTTGTTGCATTATCTTAACATTAAGACATTTTTCTGGATGGTACTTCAGGATTTGGAAGAAGTTTCATACAGCTTTAACAGAGCTTTAACAGAGGTTGAATGAGTTGTGTAGAGTTTATGACAGGTCAAATACCTTCTTGCAGAAAGAAAGTTGATTTTTTTTCAAGCATCTTCCATGACCACAGAATATCCCAAAATGCTTTTCAGCCAATTAAGGAATTCTAAAAAGTAGTCACATGTAAAAAAGGGAACAAAGCAATCAATTTGTAAATAGCAAGGTCCCAGAAACACCAATGAGATGTGACTACATAACCTTCATTTACTTAAGAAAAAAATCAGGGGTAGATATATACTAAGACACCTGGCATTCTACAATCTTATAGAAGATCCCATGGTAATTTTCAAAAGACAGCACCGCTGATGATATAGCAACCTCCCAGTGCTCAAGTGTCCTTGTGGGTTATGTGCACAACTCTTTGGAGTGGGGTTTGATCCCACAACTTTCTGAATTGGAAGTGAAAAAGCTACGAAAGAACTGAAGTCATGTTTGTTAATTGAATATCCTATGTTATGTAATTTTATGATCCCAGCTGATGTTAATACTGGACAAGTCAGATCCCAGGCTGAAATTTGGCTTGATTTTGTTTTTTTATTTATTGAGGTGGGCTTTCATTGAAACGCAAGTACGCAGTGCTGCAATTTGGTTTTAACGATAAACTAGAAATTTATTATGCAAAAGAAAAGAAGATAAGGTAGAATACGTGGTCTAGTGGTATTATTGTGAGGCTATTAATCCAGGGACCCAGGTAATCATCTGGGGACATGGACTCAAATCCAGCCATGGCAGATATTAGAATCTGAATTGAATAAAAATACAGAATTAAGGGTCTAATGATGACCATGGAATAGTTGTCAGAAAAACCCAAATGTCCTTGAGGGAAGGAAACTAGTCTGGCATATATGTGACTCCAGACCCACAACAGTATGGGTGACACTTCATTGCCCTTTGGGCAGTAAATGCTGGACCAACCAGTGATACCCACGTCCCAGGAATGAATTAAAACAGAATAAACCACAACTATTTGCATAAACAGAGTCCCTACAGTACAGATAGAGCCCATTTGGCCCATCAAGTCTGCACCAACTCTTTGAAGAGCATCCAATGCAGACCCAACCCTGCCCCTCACCACGCAATGGCTAATCCCTGGACACTACGGGGCAATTTAGAATGGCCAGTCCACCTAACCTGCACATCTTTGGACTGTGAGAGAAAACCTAGCAGACACGGGGAGAATGTGCAAAGTCACGCAGTCGCCCAAGGCTGGAATCGAACCCAAACTGAGGCAGCAGCACTAACTATTGTGTCACTGTACCGCCCTATTTGCATATAGCACAGTTTGAAATATTTCGAAACATACAGTAAAAATATAATCCCATGTATTCCAACATCATCTTTTACAGGACTCAAACACTAGAGATAATTCTCTGTCACATCTGTAGTTTGACTTAACTTTTTTTTTTCAGTTCATGGTCTTGAGAATTTGGCAGTCTGTTCCTTGATAAGTCACACAGCAAAACTTAGTGTTATTTGAAGTTGTAAAAACTCTTAAGTATTCTAACCAAGCACCCCTGGTCCGGAATGTTCAAACTAAAACCGGAGGTAAACTATTTCCCACTTTTCTGAACTAATTCCTTTCTCTAGGAGGAACCATTTCACACATTTAACTTGAATCAAGATTTCTGCAAACTGAAATTGAAAGCTTTCCAAGCTGTGTTTTTGCCTAAGAAGCAAGATCAATTCCTGATCCTTCTCACTGAAAGCAAGCTAATTCTCATCAATGTTTATGCTGTCCCTTTGTAAAACACTGCCGATACAAACAAATTCCCATTATCACCCCCAGGACTCACCTTTTTGCACTGATTTTTAAAAAGACATGGCTCCAGAAATATGGGCAAGTTAATCATTAAACCCCTTTATGCACATAGACCCAAACTCATATGCCATTACCTCAAAATGCAAATTATAAAAGAAGACGAAGGGTCTGTTTCTGTGCTGTACAAATCTATGATTCTCAGTGGTATTAACCTAAATGTAAATCTCATACTTTACATCACAGTATACTCTTGAGCCTCCTAGTTGTTGGGAAATTGAGCTGCTTGCATCAGAGAGGACATGATGGGTGCAGTAATATGACCAGATTGTGTCAGTGTTTTAAATCTTGATGTCATATTGTGATCTTGATCTTATTGTGTATAAATCTAGGTGTAAGGTCAGGTAGTGCTAAATTAGGGTTTTGAAAAAGAAACTTGGTAACTTGTATGACTTGGTACCTTTCTCACACATTGTTTAAATCAGCTGCTGCAACGAAGGACCTGATGGATAGGTTTAATAACGACTACATTTTTTTGGTTTAGATCAACATATATGGTCGATATTCTCAAGAACCCTTAAAAACATTCTCCAGATTTAAGGACACAGCATATTGCGGTACATACAGGGATGATGGAAAGCTGCTTGCTGCAGGCAGTGAGGATGGTATTGTTCGCCTTTTTGATGTTGGTGGTCGAGCAGCTCTTAGACAATACAGTGGACACACTAAGTAAGTTGTTTGCTAAAACTGGATTTAAAGGAGAAGGTAATTTATGTGTGACTAAGTACAGTTTTGTATGAACATGCAAAAGTTTTGATGGACATTTGTTAACAAAGGTTCTGCTTTGACTGTATGAAAGACTTCATTTTGAAAATGAGGTTTCACTTTGGAAGAAATGTGTAAAGCAATATATTGCCTAGAGTAGATATTCTCTTTTACACCTGAGTTCCAAATTTTGTTTGTCCCAGTGAAGATTAGTTCATTTTGTGTTCCAACTTTCACCTGGGAGTTATGCGTCCAAGGCCAGGAAATGATGGTTCCAGCATGGGCTGTAAAGCTGATCAGAACCAATGGATGGCTGAAATGTTTGGTTATGAAAGTCACTGGATCATAGAAAGTTCAATTTTGAGAAATCTTGTAAAATGAAGGTGATTTGGCTTATTGTGTCCGCCAGCATCTTTTCGCAGCAATCCAGAATTTATCCCCGCTGCGCCTTCCTCTTACACACTTTTGTAATGTTTTTCTCTCATTAAAAGCAGGTCATGAGAAGTTCTAATCTGGTTAAAATTAGAGAGGCAAAAACAAAATAACTTGGATGCTAACAATCTGAAAAAAAAGCAAAACATTAGGAGGCAGCAGGTCAGGCAGAATTTGAGAGACACAATTAACCTTTCAGATTGATGACTTTTCATCAGATAGAATGGCAAGTGGAGAGAGCCCGGATTCCATGATTAAAATCCAAAATAGATTTGGTTTATCCTTATAAAATTTGTAGGCACAAAAGATCACTGAGTCTCAATAAAATCTATTTTTCAGAGCAGTTCAAGTCACTGCGTTTACCTCTGACAAATATCGTTTGATGTCTGGATCAGATGATTATTCAGTCCGGCTTTGGGATATTCCGAGTTCGACAGAACTTCACTCCTTTAAAGAACACACTGATTATATACGATGTGGTTGTACCAGCAATTTGAATGCAGACCTGTTTGTTACAGGTATGTAATTACTATTGGAACAACAATCTGCAAGTAATTGTGTTCAGTAACCATTTTTTTTTGTTTCTACTTCTCCGCAAACAACTCCTCAACATCAACTCTTCGCTCAATGTGCCTTACTCCTTGGATGCTAATACATTCCAGCCAGTTTTTCAGTGTTTGGCTGTTTGTAAGTGCAATATGATTTCATGCTTCTGCTCTTTATGCTCTAATTGCTCCTACGGCAGTTACGTGCTTGTGTTGAAATGGAACAAAATCTTTTTACTGATCACTATTCTCTCAGTTGGGATTTTAAAAAAATTAATTGGAGTTGGATGTCACTGGCTAGATCAGTACTTATTACTCATGTCTAATTGCCATTGTGAAGGTATTGGTGAACTGCCTCTTCAAAATGCTGCCGTCCATTTAGTGGGATGTTCACAGTGCCATGGAGTGGAGTTCCAAGATTTTGACTCGGTAACAGTGAAAGAGTAATGGTATATTGCTTAATCAGGATGTTATGTGGCTTAGAGGGGAGCATGCAGATTTTGGTGTCCCTGTGTCTAAGTGGTAGAGACACTAGTTTGGAAATTACAATCTAATGACCCTTAGTTACTTATTGCAGTGCATCTTTAGATAGTACACACTACTGCCACTGTGTATTGGTGGCAGAGGGAGTTACTTGGGTGTCAGTCAAGTTGCTGCTTTGTCCAGCGAGCTTCTTGAGCATTGATTAAAGCTACGCTCATCCAGGCAGGTGGAGAGTGTTCCATTACACACTCGTGACTTCTGCTTTGTAGGCGGTGAACGGGCTTTGAGGAGTTAGTGGATAATTACACATGACCGGATTCCTAGACTCGGCCTGCTTTATGGCTACAAGTATTTATATTGATGTCCCAGTTCAATTTCTTGTCATTGGTAACCCCCAGGATGTTCTTAGCTGAGGATTCAGCTGTGCTAATGCCATTGAATCTCAAGGGGCGATGATTAGATTCTCTCTTGCTGGAGATAGATATTGTTCTGCGGCACCATTACTACTTGCCGGATATCAGACCAAGCTTGAATGTTGTCCAGGTCTTGTTATGTTTGGGCATAGACTGCTTCAATGTATGCATCAATGTGAACAATATTGTGCCATTTTTGTACTATACATGGAATCTACTCTCCCAGTGATCTCTAATATTCTTCTTATTCATAGGTTCTTATGATCATACGGTGAAAGTGTTTGATGCCCGAATGGATAAAAGTGTAATAACTATGGAACATGGACAGCCAGTAGAGAGTGTGTTGCTTTTTCCATCAGGCGGACTTCTAGTATCAGCAGGTCAGTATACTTTAGTTGTTTAGAAATTTAGTGTCCTTAACGAGCGGTGTTTTTAAATTAGCTGTGGTGGCAAACATGAAGGAGCCAGCTAAGGCAGCCTACTAGTTTTCATCAAATTGACTGCCATTCACATCTTTTTCCCCTCATGCATGGTCTCCATTGCCAGTAGATCAATATATGGTGTCAGATACCTTTAAGGTACCATGTAACCTGGAGAATAGACCAACACTTATTAGCATACTTCCAGTCTTCACAGTCCATGAAATGTTTTTGTTTCTTTTGTAATTTTTTCTATAATTGCAAAAGCCCTGCTGTAGTTACTGACATTTTGAGTATCAACATCAATGTACCTTGTGAATTTCTTTTACTATACTCCTTTAATGAAATCTAGTTCTCATTCACCAATTTGTAATGAAACTTGTCCACCGTCTTGATAACTATAACTTTTATGTACCTTATATAACTGAATAAAGCTTGAGTTTCTAAGATGAAATTTTCATTGTAAAAGGGCCAACTTTTACACAACATTACGGAGAGGTTGAAATCCACCTTCTTCCATTGTTTCACGATCGCAGATTTGCCATGTTGGAGACTGTTCCCATCATCCCCACCTCTCCTATTACCACCCCCAAAAGTAGCACGCATTCAAGAGGTGGTAGCCTTGACGTGTTGAAATGTGCAGATCTGAGAAACTGAACAGTTGCTTTCAATGTGCTCTTCTACGATTCTATCAAGTAGTTTACACTAGGATGAGTTTGACTTCCACAGTGAGTGGGTGGTAAATATAGGGAGTTTGGATTTTATTTTCGCCAAATGCTGCAGGTTGATTTATGCACAAGGTGTATGAAAAAAATGAATAAATTTTTGACCAAAGGTTGGTGTTAACTTTCACATGACATCGACCATTTCACAAGTGTGTAAGTACATGTTGGTTAACTTGTCCACCTAATCGACTGCATTTTCTTTTTACAAAGGTGGGCGGTATGTTAAAGTGTGGGATATGTTGAAAGGAGGACAGCTGCTGGTTTCGTTACGAAACCACCACAAGACCGTCACCTGCTTATGTCTAAATAGCTCAGGACAGAGGCTGCTGTCAGGCTCACTTGATAGGTAGGAAGCTGTTTGTCAATTCAATGGAATTGAAATAGTATTCGCATGTGCACGATGTAGTTTCTGTTTTTTTTCTAAAATAGGTTTTTTTGTGGTTTGTTTAAAATTGGGTTTGTAAATAGAAATTTCCAATGCAGTCCATATAAAACCATGCTAGGTTACATCCTGAGATAGTAGGAACTGCAGATGCTGGAGAATCCGAGACAACAAGGTGCAGAGCTGGATGAACACAGCAGGCCAAGCAGCATCATAGGAGCAGGAAGGCTGACGTTTCGGGCCTAGACCCTTCATCAGAAATGGGGGAGGGGGAGGGGAAGGGGGTTCTGAAATAAATAGGGAGAGAGGGGGAGGCGGACAGAAGATGGATAGAGGAGAAGATAGGTGGAGAGGAAACAGACAGGTCAAAGAGGCGGGGATGGAGCCAGTAAAGGTGAGTGTAGGTGGGGAGTTAGGGAGGGGATAGGTCAGTCCAGGGAGGATGGACAAGTCAAGGGGGCGGGATGAGGTTAGTAGGTAGGAGATGGGGGTGCAGCTTGAGGTGGGAGGAGGGGATAGGTGAGAGGAAGAACAGGTTAGGGAGGTGGGGACGAGCTGGGCTGGTTTTGGGATGCGGTAGGGGGAGGGGAGATTTTGAAGCTTGTGAAAACCACATTGATACCATTGGGCTGCAGGGTTCCCAAGTGGAATATGAGTTGCTGTTCCTGCAACCTTCGGGTGGCATCGTTGTGGCACTGCAGGAGGCCCAGGATGAACATGTCGTCTGAGGAATGGGAGGGGGAGTTGAAATGGTTCGCGACTGGGAGGTGCAGTTGTTTATTGCGAACCGAGCGTAGGTGTTCTGCAAAGCGGTCCCCGAGCCTCTGCTTGGTTTCCCCAATGTAGAGGAGGCCACAATGGGTACAGCGGATGCAGTATACCACATTGGCAGATGTGCAGGTGAACATCTGCTTGATGTGGAAAGTCTTCTTGGGGCCTGGGATGCGGGTGAGGGAGGAGGTATGGGGGCAGGTGTAGCACTTCCTGCGGTTGCAGGGAAAAGTGCCGGGTGTGGTGGGGCTGGAGGGGAGTGTGGAGCGGACAAGGGAGTCACGGAGAGAGTAGCCCCTCCGGAAAGCAGATAAGGGTGGGGAGGGAAAGATGTCTTTGGTGGTGGGGTTGGATTGCAGATGGCAGAAGTGTCGGAGGATGATGCGTTGGATCCGGAGGTTGGTGGGGTGGTATGTGAGGACGAGGGGCATTCTTTTTTGGTTGTTACTGCGGGGACGGGGTGTGAGGGATGAGTTGCGGGAAATGTGGGAGACACGGTGGAGGGCGTTCTCGACACTGAGGGGGGGGAAGTTGCGGTCCTTGAAAAATGAGGACATCTGAGATTTCACAAGCTTCAAAATCTCCCCTCTCCCTACCGCATCCCAAAACCAGCCCAGCTCATCCCCGCCTCCCTAACCTGTTCTTCCTCCCACCTATCCCCTCCTCCCACCTCAAGCCGCACCCCCATCTCCTACCTTCTAACCTCATCCCGCCCCCTTGACCTGTCCGTCCTCCCTGGACTGACCTATCCCCTCCCTAACTCCCCACCTACACTCACCTTTACTGGCTCCATCCCTGCCTCTTCAGCCTGTCTGTTTTCTCTCCACCTATCTTCTCCTCTTTCCATCTTCTATCTGCCTCCCCCTCCCCCATTTCTGAAGAAGGGTCTAGGCACGAAACGTCAGCCTTCCTGCTCCTATGATGCTGCTTGGCCTGCTGTGTTCATCCAGCTCTGCACCTTGTTGTCTAGGTTACATCCTGATAGTTTACAAATCAAAAATATTTGAAATTGGGAAGTTCTAATGAGTTAAGAAGGATGAACTGTTTACATTAGTAAGTAATTACAAGGTATAATTTAAGATAATTTAATGGAATAATTGGCAGATTTATGGTGGTAGAAACAGAAACTGATAGTAGCTTTTAAAGTGGAGTGGACAAAAATTTAAAAACCAGAAAGGCAATGGATAACTTTCCTAGAATGTGCAGTTGTAGTGGACCGAGAGTCCTCTTTCGATGCTGTAAAAGTCTGTGATTTTGTAATTGAAGAGCTTCCATATATAAAACTTTTATGATGAATATAATTGTAATGTTGGCGTTTTAAGCATATGATGAAAGTGTTCTTTAATGTTGTTTTTTCCCCAAGTACTTGCAATCCTGGTAGAGACCAATGACTTAAAAAAATCTGAATTCACAGTGACCAATATGAAGGAACCCACAAGATTAACTTGTAAGACTTTATTCTAGCAAGTAAGCTAAATTCAACATTAGCTAAACATTATGTTGCCAAACTCTAACCTAATCCTAACCCCATTAAAATCCTAAATTATTGCAAAAACATCCCCTATTAGCATTACAACACAGTCATCCCAAGCTGCATTTATACATATTTCTTCAGTTTCTGCATAATTGCAGTCTTTATAGGAACAGTCCAAAATTGTTCTCCACTTCCAATGTACTCGCCCCTGCCTGTTGTGCTGCGCTGTAATGTCTAGTGACCATCAAAACTTCTTCTTAGTATTCTGAGAATTCTGGAAACATCTCCAGCTGTATGGCTCACTTAAACATGCTTTTCTGTGGCCTCAACAGGTTAAATCTTTCCAGGTCCTTAAATTTCCACAGGTTCTGTCTTCTCACCTTACTATCTGCATTCTGTTTGGAAGTTAACAGACAAAATCAGCTGTTTATCCTCTGCTGATCATTCTCTCTCTTAAGAAGAATCAATCACTCTGTGTTCAGATTTCTTTTTAATCAGACTGCCTGGAAGTCTACACAAACAAGAACAGCTCGCCCACTCTGTGTTCAAGTGTGAAGTGTACCACTTGGTTTTGCTAAGTCTTGACCTGAACTTCCTGTCGCCATGGGGACCATCATCTGGCATATCGCTGGGCAGAGTCCAACACACCTTCATGCCATCCCCTTGTCTGGGGCATCCTGAGAGAGACAGACAGTCCAAAACATAACCATCTTCTAAAACCTTCCATTCATAATACAAGAATTAAGCTTTATTTACTTATACACTTTTAATATTTTAAACTTTAAATTTGCAGGCATGTGAAAATCTACAGTACATCCACGTACAAAGTAGTCCATAGTCTGGATTACGCAACAGCCATTTTGAGCTTGGCTTTAGCAGTAAGTATGATATGCGTTTGTAACTTCATGGGTAATTATGATCTTTTCTAAGCATATGCAGAGTCACTTAAACTAATTTACAACAACTGAGCCATTTATAACATTGATTCAGAGATAGTAGGAACTACCGATGCTGGAGAATCTGAGATAACAAGGTGTAGAGCTGGATGAACACAGCAGGCCAAGCAGCATCAGAGGAGCAGGAAAGCTGACGTTTCGGGTCTGGACCCTTCTTCAGAAAAAGGGTCC